AAATTTTGCGAGTGGGTTCCCCGGCCAAGTGCCACCTCAGGACCGCGGTACCAACCCTCAAGCACGTCTAGGCCTCGCGTACGAGAGCCTCAAAGTTTTGGCGGGAAGATCGGTAACTCGAGAACCAGAAGAGCTAGAAAGCTGAAATTTTGGGATTATGTTTCCAGTCCAAGTAGAACTCAAGGATTTCAAACTCAGCCCCCGGGGATTCGTGGTTCCCGCGTACGGCCCCGTGAGGGTTCCTGGCGCGAAAATCGCTAGCTCCGGAACCAAGAAAGTTGGGAGGCTGAAACTTTCAGGAAATGTTTCCAAATCATTTATTTCGTTACATCTTTCAGAAATATATACCAACTAAAATTAAAATGCATACGGTTGCTGCTGCTGCTGTTGTTGTTGAGCCTGTTGCTGCAGTCCTTCGGAGGTCAATGATAAGAGTCCTTGCGCGAAAATATTCTCCTGTGCCCGGCGCGCTATCATTGCTATTAAATCGTTTGTGTTCGGCACATTTGCTGCTGCTGCTGCTGCCGCTGCTGCTAAATCTTCTGCTTCCTTTATGTTTTCCGATCTGCAAAATACCCCAAATGTTATTTTACCATGCAAAAAAGTGTCCATCAACCATTATTACCATCAACATTATCATTATCACCATTATCAAACTGTCATTATTACCATTATCATTATCAACATCACCATTATCATTGTCAACTTTACCGTTACCACTATCACCATTAACGTAATCACTATTATCAGTATCACCATTGTCATTATCACCATTAACGTTACCACTATTATCAGTATCACCATTGTCATTATCATCATTAACGTTATCACTATTATCAATATTACCATCGTCATTATCATCATTAACGTTACCACTATTATCAATACTACCATTACCATTATCACCATTAACGTTATCACTATTATCAATACTAACATTATCATTATCATCATTTTCGAAGCGCTAACCGAAGTGCAGCAGATGTTTCTCCGCTATCGCATTTACTTCTATCATCGAGCCTCGGTTGTTTCGCGGGCGGT